GTTAGAATTGGTCTTCAGCAACCCATGCTTGACGTAAGAGGCGACTAACGGGATGAGTGAGTGAGTGAGTGAGTTAAAATGTAACGTCACCTCGGCAATATTTCAGCCATATAGTGACGAGAAATGCTTTAAATAAACAATATATTTAAGTTGCTAAATAATCAGTCATCGAAGGACTGTAAAATAACTAGAGTATCACAGATGGAGTCTAAAACTAGCATGAACATGTACAACTATTTTATTTACGAAGACAATACAATATAAAAACGGGCTATAGGTCGCCAACAACTGAACTAGCGGGGTGGGGTACTCAGGCTCGCTGACCTGGTTGACACATGTCATCGTATCCCAGTAGCGTAGATCGATGCTCATGCTGTTTATCATTGGATTCAGACTCGATTATTCACAGACAGCCGCCATATAGCTGGAATATTGCAGAGTGCGGCGTAAAACAACTCACTCACTCATGATCCTATACCATGAGCTATTAATACTGTTCAAACCTCACATCCCATATACTGCCAGGAATTAGAACAACTTAGTCAGTTTCCCAGACAAAATCATAATCCCAAATAACCCAAACTTTAAACAATTTGTTTCCAGATTTCGAAAGTCCCAGTGCAGATTGTCTGCTCTAATGTCCACTCGTGCACCAAGTTAGCAATACCTCCAACTGTTAAGTTCACCTCCGGGGTATGCGATGGTTGAGCATTCTATAGGAAATTTTCTATTCTGTGGTATCATCAGCTGTAAGTTTAGGAAGGCCAAATGCTAGCAATTTTCCCACGAAGTTAGAACTTATTAGAAATTTTTTTAAATTCTCATCAAAATATATCGGCTTCCTGGAAGGTTAACTCAGCTTCTTTTGTAGGTCAACCCGCTACGCAAACACATTCCACCAACATCCGCCTCCCCCTATCTAACGGTTTTTCAGCTGTGGCGTTAACAGTTCCTCTCTCTCCCTTAGTCTGTCATACAGACCCTGAAGCAAATATACCCATGAAATCCAAGTCTAGAAAATGTGGCAAGTCTACATTTCCACAGCTGAAAATGAAGAAACTCTAGGGGCTCCTTTTCATTATATTCTATTTTTTTCACTATGCGCTTTTTCTCTGTAAAATATGTTCATGTCAACGACATGTTGTTAGTCTATCTCTCCGTCTGTTTAGAGCTCTGATATCTCATTATAAGCACAGCGGCTTGTAATGCTAAAATCTGCCATCAAGTTATATACTGTCACTGACGGGGTCTTAGTACTAATTTGATTATAACCTGTGATTATAAGCTTGGCTGGTAAACTCTAAAATAGTTCTACAACATATACTTAATACAAGAACGTGTGTGTCCTCTGTGTGTCTGGGGGCGGTGGGGTAGCCTAGTGGTTAAAGTGTTCGCTCGTCAAGCCGAAGACCCGGGCTCGATTCCCCACATGGGTACAATGTGTGAAGCCCATTTCTTGTGTCCCTCGCCGTGATATTGCTTGAATATTGCTAAAAGCGGCGTTAACCATACTTACTCACTGACTCACTCACTCACTCTGCGTGTCTGTGTGTCCTTTTCTTTTTACACAGTCTTTGCTTTTTTGCTTTTGTTCATTTGTCTTTATACATTATTAATAATAACAGGTTCGTATAAATCTATCTTGTATCTTGTAAATCAATCTATTAAGTCCCAACAGATGACATTTATGGGTCAGTTTTGTACCATATACCCCTTTAATTGTCCAATCTATCCTATCTAACCCGAACGTACCTGACCAGAAGATAACGCTCAAATCTTATCTACGACCAACACGCATGGAAATGTGTTGGGGCAGCTGATAACAATATGTGAGCACAAGAGCTATAAGCATGTTTACCAGCGTCTGCAAGGCCAAGCTGCACTATCAACATACGTCAAATAAGACACCGGATCGGAGTCACAGATTGTAACAGACGGTTAAGTTTTCATCCGGCGGTTGTTTGCGCGTTTCCAAGAATGATAAAAACAATGGGTTTTTTGAATTTTATAATTGATGTAAATAACGTTCATAACGGTTGACACTGTTGACTTTGAACTACATCACAACTTTGAAAACAAGCAGTTATTAGGAAACTTTGTACTTCAGAGTAATACGTTTATGTTAATTTGATCAGTGACAGAATATAAGTCGAGTGTTATCTGTAGGCAGAACTGTTCTAAACTAGCGTATAAGCGAGTGCGTGAGCTTAGTTTTACACCGCACTCAGCAATATTCCAGCTATATGGCGGCGGTCTGTCAATAATCGCGTCAGGACCAGACATCCAGTGGTCAACAGCATGAGCATCGATCTACACAACTGGGATACGATGACATGTGTCAACCAAGTCAGCGAACCTGACAACCCGATCCCGTTAATCGCCTCTTACACAAGCATGTGTTGAACAATTTCGGGGCGCAATCCCATGCAATCCAGCACATCATACATCGTGTCCAGCCGGTTTGTTTGTTTGTTTTAGAAATAATCGATCTGTATAATGGCAAGGTAATCAGCACTGGGACAGAATCATAATCGATTGGGGTTTTTTTTTTATCATGCGGACAACATGCCATCTAATGACATACAGTAAACAAAGAGAACACAATCTGACACAGGCTTAAATTTTACAGCGGAACGCTAATGACCCATTGTAAGACAGGTGTTGGGCGGATTGGTATCCAAAGCCTATACCTCCTTTATTTATAAATGGCGGTTGGGTAGCCTATTGGTTAAAGCGTTCGCTCGTCACGCTAAGACCCGAGTTCGAGTCCCTACATGGGTACAAGGATTGAAGCCATTTTCTGGTGTCCTCCGCCGTGATATTGCTGTAATAGTGTTAAACTAAACTCACTCACTTACTCACTTTACTTGTAAAAGAACATTCCGAACGGCATGCATGTTTGTACCAATACACATTCATGTTTGCATGAGGGCTAATGTTTCAGGTAAACATCATAGCACCCTCTCACCTGTAGCTACATGAAACAATATATAAAGATGTACGTATGCGCCTAAAATTAAAACAAACGAAATATTGATGATGTGATAACGCAGTGGTTATTCCCATAACCAAACCTGTATTTATTATTACAGACAATTCTCGCTCATGAATAGCTGCGGTGTTATACAATATTCACTTATCCACTGTTTACACGATTCAGCCAATATTTTCTGCTAAAACGTACCAAAGTCTACTCGTATCACCCTAATTTGAAATTTCGATTTTTCAGAAAAAAATGAAGGAACCAAAACGTAATCGAAGTAACGAGAAAATACATGCTCGAAATTTTACAAAAAACACCAAAAATAATTATTGAAACAACGAGTATTTTCGATTTGAAAAATAATTTATGCTACCAAAGGGGCGCCATAGATTGGGAATACCCCTACTACAGCCATACTGACGTGCACAGTGCATCAGTGAGTGAGTGAGTTTAGTTTCACGCCCCTTTTAGCAACATTCTAACAATATCACGCCGGGGGGGACACCAAAAATGGGCTTCGCACATTGTAGGGTAGCCTGGTGGTTACAGCGTTCGCTCGTCAAGCCGAAGACCTGGGTTCGATTTCCCACATGGGTACAATCCCATTTCTGGTGTCCCCCACCACGACATTGCTGGAGTATTGCTAAAGCGGCGTAAAACCATACTCACTCACTCCAATGCATCAACTGCTGATACCTTGCAATAGTCAAGCAGAAACAAGAGTGAGTGAGTGAATGAGTTTAGTTTAGTTTAACGTCGTACTCGGCAATATTCCAGCTATATGGCTGTGGTCTGTAAAGAATCACGTCTGGACCAGACAATCTAGTGATCAACAGTATGAACATCTATCTAGCAGTTGGGATGCGATTACGTGTGTCAGCGAGTCTGACCACCCCATCCCGTTAGTCACCTTTTACGACAAGCATGGGTTACTGAAGATCAATTCTCTTCCAGATCTTCACGGGTCTTAAACAAAGAAGGAGAGTGATAACAAGTAATTATCATTATAAAAAAGTATTTGCTTTCTGTTCTTGACATGCTGATACGTCTTCGTGTTCTGTAGGGGCGGTGGGGTAGCCTAGTGGTTAAAACGTTGGCTCGTCACGCCGAAGACCCAGGTTCAAATCCCCACATGGGTACAATTTGTGATGCCCATTTCTGGTGTCCCCGCCGTGATGTTGCTGGAATATTGCTTAAAGCGGCGTAAAACCAAATTCAGTCAGTCAGTCTGATACGTCTTCGTGTTCTGTAAAGGCTTATAGCACGTTTCCTAACTCAAGGCATTCCCATCATGATATCGCTTGCCGCGAACAACTGCAATGGTGCTCAAACGGCTTAAAACAGAATTTATTCACTTACTCATGATATTGTCACCATTCACAAAACAAAAGGACAGAATAAGACAAAGTCTTCATTCACTCAAGTGTGTGTGCGTGCGTGTGAGTGCGTACGTGCGTGCGCGTGTGTGTGTAAAGATAACTATATTTTAAGCTGAACTGAATGAAATATAATGTGACTTAAATTGAAAAAAATTCTATCAGGTTGATTCCCATTTGAGTATGTTAAACAGGAAACATATATTTTGTAGTTGGCAGTTACATTTTAGCAGTATATTCGTGTTATATGATATGATAACAACATTATGAAAATGAAGATGAGACAGTCTCGGCTGATCCATGGTAACGAGACGTAGACCAAGGTTATTGTTCGACTTCCTTGTTGACCTGTCTCACAGATCCGGACAGATGGGGTAAAGTATTGTATATGTTAAACTAGAGAGCGTTAAGGTCATGCATAACTCAACCGTCACATTAAGTCATAGCCTTGCTCCAAGGCTGTACTGAATTCTAAGCCCATGGACGTGTAGTAAACTGATCTATCCTTTAACGAGGTAAGGTAAGATAAGCGGACGGAAAATGCGCCAATCTGTTGTTTATATGTGTTTAGAAATCTTCATTTAAACTATTAATTATTACGTTAGAGACTTATGCAAGTCTACTAAAGCCAACAAATCTCGACCAGGATGTTGACGGTCGCTGGCCGCGCGACACTGCGTCAAACTCACATGTAAACAAGTGCGTGCGTATTTCTACGAATAGTGTCTATTTTGGTTCTTGGAAGCCAGGACAAGTCGCAGTAAGGGACTATCCGGCTTGTATGTAGGTATATATAGCCCTCGTGTGGCATCTTCGCCACAAACCCTGGAAGCAGAAACAAGGTAGGCTGATTGTGTGTCCATGTCTTCAGAAGCATGCTCGGGGGTTTTCTTTCGTCCTTGTCAGTGGATAGTTCTGCGACAAAATTTTAATCTTAGGTGTTGAGTCTTATCGCATTATTCTTAGTTAGAAAACGTGGTAGTTTCGGCAAAGAGACAGTAACATATAGAAGCCTATAACAAAGAAACTGTTTGTGCAGCGTTTAAGGCTGAGATAATGCGTGTGTCTCTCTCTCTCTCTCTCTCTCTCTCTCTCTCTCTCTCTCTCTCTCTCTCTCTCTCTCTCTCTCTCTCTCTCTCTCTCTCTCTCTCTCTCTCTCTCTCTCTCTCTCTCTCGTGATGCAACAGAAATTGTTGGGGTTTTACCTGTATGTTTAATTTACGTCGATTGATATTTGTTAGTGAAACTTATTCAGTCATTATTCACCCAGCGCTTTACGTTAATCGCTGTGTAAACACATCTTATTGTTATCAACCAGTGGTGTCTAAACCGTCTACAACGGGCAAGAAATATCAGAAATGTGAGTGAGTGATTTTAGTTTTACGATGCTGCAGCAACATTTCAGGTATATCACGGCGCGAGATACCAGAAATGGGCTTCACACGTTGTACCGATGTGGGGAATCGAACCCGGTCTTCGGCGTGACAAGCGAATCCTTTACCACTAGACTACCCCACCGCCAGTTACTACAAGCGACGTAAATCCCACTCACTCGCTCACTCACTCACTCACTCCACCCAAATATGAAACGGCAGTATTTCTTACACATAATTTCTATTTTCACAGACTTTCAAAGATGGCAAAAGTATCACTTCTCGCCGTTGTAGCTGTGGCCATGCTGATGGTGGTGCCCTACGTCCATGGCGCAGGAGGGAGTTGCTATGCTCCTCCGTTTTTTTTCGGTTCGACTTGCACATCAGACACTTCCGTGTTTGGGAGCCCAGGATGGAAGGTCCGCTACACTGTCACGGTCACCGGCAACGCTGGGACCCTCGTCTGCTGTGAAGCCAGATACTGTGACACCAGAGGCTGCAGAATGAGGAGTATTGGGTGTGGTCACTCCAGCTTCGGCTCTACCGTCCCCTGGGGGAACAACCTCGCTAATCCGGCTGTCAAGTGCAAGGGAACTCCCACTGGGGCTTTTATCAGGTTCAGTCACTGAGATGGGATGGACTTCCGGTTTCTCGTCCGCGACACACACTGAAATAGGATGGACTTCCGGTTTCTCGTCCTCTTCACTCACTATGGACACGGTTGTTTACAGAGCGGGAAACTCAAATTTTAAAACTGAAATATTTTCATAATGTTGTACACCAAATGTGATCCATATGTTTGCTATCCAGTCGTATATTTTGTCATATTTTATATCGGTTGTGATATTAAAACACGATAAAGAAATATTCGGTCGTTATATATTTGTGATATCTCTATTTTCACCACTGAGGTTATTGCAGTGTGTATTATGTGTAGACCTGTGCTGTCAGTAGAGCAGGACTTGCTTATCCTTTACGCGAACACCCGGTGTTATTTCAGTTTTTTACTGATCCATTCATAAAATTTTCACCACTGTTTTGACTTTCAGGCCAAATGTCTTCATTGTGTGTACAATGTCTTCCAATCAGTCACCGAGTGTTCATTCCGGGTTCGATTCCCCTAGTGGTTAAATTCGACACATCGGTACAATGTGTGAAGCCCATTTCTGGTGTCCCCGCCGTCATATTGCTGGGATATTGCTAAGGGACCGTTCATAATTTATGGCTAGGGGTGATGATGATTTTAAGGGCTGTCACCAATTTTGTTCTGGGGAGCTAGGGGGTCAGCAATTTTGTACACACGTACGGGGGATTTTGTACATAAAAATATGTTTAAAATTATGCTTAGAAATTATGGGAAGGGGAGGGGGATCATTGATTTTGTACATGACATGCAAGGGGGGTCACTTATTTTGTACATAAATTTTTGGGGGGGTCATTCACATTGTACATGCTTCTCCATAAAAATCATCACCACCCCCTAGCCATAAATTATGAACGGTCCCTAAAAGCGGCGTAAAACTTACACACACTCATACTGAAGTGATTAGTCTACTAGCTGCAACACTGAAATCAGCAATTTTGCAGCTGTTCATGTGGGGTCCAATTCATGAGAATGATCGTATACCATCACTTGCTGTCGACCACATACTGTAATCAAGATGAACACAAACTCAACTTACACATGATACGAATGCAAGCAGGATCATTACACCAACTAAGCTTATAACACTTTACTATCTGAACAGTTTCATGAAAGCTGAATATCCTTTTACGTCACACGTCTCTATCTTGTCATCGATCAGGTATACGTACACGTAACGGACATCGTATAACCAGATACGTAATGATACGTTGTGTCATGGATACTACTATCTCTCCGGTCTGTACGTTATCATGGGACTCACACGTAACACACACGTACACTGACACACGTGTGTTGCATGAGGCAGTTCACCAACTGTCACCAGTTGCTTGTTGCTGGAGTCACTCCTGATCTATATATATAACAGCGACATGCTCTTGATGCAACAGTCATGGCGGGCAGTACTGCAGTCACAGCCTTGTTTTGGTTTGGGGCGTGTGTTTCTATCGTCAATGGAATTGTGAGTACTTAAATCTTAAATTTTACACAATGCAATTTAGTCATCATGAAGACTGACTGACTGACTGAGTTTGGTTTTACGCCGCTTTTAGCAATATTCCAGCAACATCAGGGCGGGGGACGCCAGAAATAGGCTTCACACATTGTGCCCATGTGGGGATTCGAACCCGGGTCTTCCTCGTGACGAGCCAACGCTTTAACCATTAGGCTACCCCACCGCCCCCCATCATGAAGACAATTTTCAAACTGTTTCATATCACTGACAAAATATTTGTTATTCACACGATACAAATGAAAAAAAGTGCAGCTTTATAAATAATATCATAATTTCTTATAATTTCACTAATGAATAATGATTTGTTTCTAAATAATGTAATGGTATTTTAAAAATATGTTCTATATTTCTAATTTTACAAATCTGCTTCTAATGATATTTCGTGCTATTAACTGGTGTTTTAAAACTTTATATAGCTTATGTCGAGATTTTGTATTTCAATATCCATTCAATTGTTTATTTATATGAAGTCTTTCAGCTATAATTCATTAACATGAAGGTCAGGGCCGATCCACATCACATCGAGTTATACGTCATTCGAGACAACAAGAACTCTATATGATGAATGATAGAATAATTTCTGCTTGTCCCGTGTAAATGTCGGGCGCACTTTTTTATTACTTGGTTTACGGATCCATCGACCGTAATTTTTGCTAAAGTGGAAACAAATAAAATTTCAATTTTTCCATTTTTTAAATATCGCCGATAGATAAAATCCTATAAATAATTTAAAAATCTACTTTATTGACTTTCTGTTAGGAATCTGGCATTGTTGCAAAACAAAGTTATACATATTGAAAGAAATAAAATCGCCGAATTAATGTTACCGAGTGAAAATGCTGGGTTTATTAAACCTTATGATAGTAGGAAATGAGAACACCTGAATGCCGGATGGCATATTCTTTTCTTTTTTTTAAACAGCCTACTTGTTGTAAAAAAATCCGTAAACCAAGTAATAAAAAAGTGTGGCCTTAGATGAAAGTTAAAATGAAAGTGTCGGGCGTTTTTAGGCCTGGCACATACTTTTTGTCTATTTCTCGAAAGATGATTTTCTAAAAGTGATTACACTGATTAACTTCTATTCCGTATCTAGGACTGACTGACTAAGTTTGGTTTTACGCCGCTTTTAGCAATATTCCAGCAACATCACGGCGGGGGACACCAGAAATGGGCTTCACACATTGTACCCATGTGGGGAATCGAACCCGGGAATTCGGCGTGACGAGCCAACGCTTTAACCACTAGGCTACACCACCGCCCCCGTATCTAGAAAAGTTTTGAAAATCGACATACATTCTCTATGCTGTGGTTTGTGAATGTATTGTAATATGATGAACTCTGTACTCAGTATGACGTACTGATGACCATATTCGATTAAACAGACACATATGTAATCAGTGTATGAAGTAAGGCCCGTCCGACCGCCCGAGGTAGTCTAGATTTCTGACGGACTGTCTAAATTTACATCTAGCCAAAATCCATTTTGGGCTGGTAACATTTTGAAGTTAAATCGAAGGAAGCTGGTAACATTTTGAAGTTACCAGTCCTGATGTCTGGCTGGATTTTTGGCATATTTCTTCCACTGATGTATGACGGTATTTGTTTTTCGAAGGTTCGACGAATCTATGCCTTGTCTTAAATACTTACTTGTTCACAAGCGTGTGCACACACACCCTTTCTCAAAAATATGTATCCGCCCCTGACGTAGTTTTGAGGGAGTCAGGGTTGATGGTTATACCCTAGACGAACATCTAGTGTCTGAAATGAACATATATATTTTACAGGAAACAACGATTCCTAAATTGTAATTACAAAAATATAATGAAAAGGAGCCCAAAGACTTTTTTCATTTTCAGAAAATGAAACTGGTAAATAAATTTAGACATGCGAAATATTCTAGACATTCATGGGATTTCTTGGATACATTTCTTTCATATCTACAGTCTGAATGGCAGACTAGCGTTTCTCACATGACAAATGATGCTTGTCGATTTCTAAATGTAAACAATATGTTAAACAAGAAATATGTTTCACAAGAATTCTTGTTTGTCCTGGCAACTTTCATACAGAGTTCGTACACATTTCCTGATTTCTTTCAACATGCGGGTTTCGCCAAAAGTGTCCCTATTATCTATAGGGAACATAATTCACTTGTATAGCCGGAGTAGTTTAAACGCGTCGATTCAGTGAATGGAATGAATGGTTTCAGAACAATGTCGCACCAAATTAAGTTGTTAAAGGGGAGGTGTACACGAAAAGATCACTTTTATTCATATGTGAAACGAAATGAAAGTTTTCAATAAGTTTATATCAATGTTTGAAAATATACACTCGTTTTTCTTACAGTGAAAGTATAACCCTCAATATAAGTGCTGAAATGTTATGCCATTATGAGACCTTTGTTTGCCGAAGTAAACAGGCCAGAGTTACCGCCCTTTCATTATGAAGTAATTGGTGCCAATTGATTTAGACTGGTCTCCTGTATAGTCCCAAAGCAAGAGATATAAATACTGACATTAATCTCGTGAAAATGTATGTAAAACTACGAAAGAAGCATTAGAAGTGAAAATGTAAGCGTCAAGATACAAATGATCGTGTGCAGTTTTATTTCATTCATAATCGGGATATGGCTGAAATATTGCCGATGTGACGTTAAATCTAAACTCACTCACTCACTCACTCATTCATAACCTCACTTCAATGAGAATACCAAATAATGTATAACAATGTTGACGTACATATGACATCACTATCGGGAAGTGACTTTCTCAAAATGGCGTGTTCACCGACATGCGTACGCAGGATTTTCGGAAGGAAACTTTCGTTGTTTCAAGCAACGTATATGTATAAATGTCACATGTAAGTAGTCCGAAACATTCTGACAATCTGCTGGTTGTTATTTAATTTTTTGTTTTCATTGTGACCAATGGAAATAGTCAGAGATGAGGAGGAAGTGCTGTCAACGTTGTTTATGAGTTTGCGTCAGTCATGGTGTCACGCTTCCGGAAACTGTAATATATTGTGTTGAATCTAGGAAATCACTGGAGTACGCCCAGTCTCTTGCTACCACACATTTCCCGTGCATGTTCCTAAACGTATGAGCAAGTGTATACAACCAGTAGTAATCTGAGATTGGCTTTGTGGTCCTTTCCCCGCGCGGCAACTGATATCTATTGCTAGATTTCACTGAGACACTTGGTATCGGTGACAAAGACCATTCGTCATTTTATTTTGAACTGTATAAGGAATTTAAGGATTCGTGAAAGGAAGCTGATTTTGAATTATAATTGTGATGTAATGGGTGAAACATAACTGACATACGTGTGACGTTATTTTACGGACACTTCTATATGGCTAAAACTAATACAGCGGAATTAGAAGATAAAGCTACTCTGTTTTCAATTTTGCGGTCCTTTATCGTTGATTTATGACCGCTAAATGTAATTTAAAAACCGAACACATTGTCGTGCTAGAATGACCATTGGTGATTTGATCAAACAACAACAACTACAACTGAAGGAAGAGAGATTTACATACGTGTGACGTGATTTAATGAACACTCTGCAATATGTCTGAAAGTTCACTTCGACGTAGTGTTTGCATATTTCCAAAACATTCTCATTCTCTAGGTTTATCCACGATGTTTCAGAACGAGCATTGGTGATTCTATCAAACAGCTGCAACAAAAATACAGGTGATCACAATGAT